GGTGCACGCCACTGCAAAGACGTTTTCCCCTTTAAATGAAGAATGGACTCGACCGAAATAGATTGACACTATGTGCAGATCACGTGATGGCGACTTTCGTTTTGCACCAAACTATACTAGCCCCGCCCACCCGCCCTCAATTTTCTTGGAGTATGTCAATTGCCAAAATCAGTCTCATATTAGCAGGTACTAGTCCTGTCGATCCGCCCTCTATTTTGACTTTGGCAAATGATATACCTTCCAAGACAACAGAGGGCGGGTGGGCGGGGCTTATGTCTGTTAAGATTCTTAGAGTGACAATCAAAACAAAAATTGCCATCACGTGGGTTGCGCAGTTAAGCAAGTGACGTTGGTCGAGTCTATTCATAGCTCTCGGGGGATGGAAACATAAAGCAGTAGCGCCGTTAATTTGTCTTACTTTTGTACTGTCTTCGTATGTCTCGTGCCAGCGTTTTGTGTCTTATATTTTTTTAAATTATTATTATTTATTTTGTCACTTTGTATTTATTAGCAAGAAGAATTTTGTTTAATAGGATCTCTTTTAAACTTAGTATTCCTCAGTCTAAATCTAACGATATATTGAATCCTCAAATCTGGCCTCAAGGGGTGGTAGTTCGCAGATTTTTCCCATCAAAAAATAAGGATGACTTTTCAGTTTCTAAGGAACGCAAAAATTTTCTAGACGCAGTAGAAGAAGAAACCATAACATAGACCATCTAACGGTGTATTTTCAAAATGTGCGCGGTATGCGAACAAAACTGACCGATTGTTATGTATCGTGCTTGAGTGAGAACTTTGATGTCATTATTTTTGTAGAAACATGGCTTCATCCAGACATCGATGATAGTGAATTTATTGATAACCGATATGTCGTGTACAGGAATGACCGTTCATCAAACAATAGTGAAAAATCTATAGGTGGTGGTGTCCTGATAGCAGTTAGGAAAAATCTTTTATCCAGCAAATTGTACATCCCTTCTTCAGTCGAAGATATATGGATTAGGTTGCAAGTCAACAGCAGATTTTTTATTTTCAGTGCTGTTTATCTCCCACCAGACGTTTCACTTGCTGTCTATGCCGATTATGTTGGCAATCTTAAAACTATATGTTACAACAACTTGGCCGATACGATTTTTGTTCTAGGAGACTTCAATCTGCCTGGCATACAATGGATTCAAGATGATGAGACAATAGGTTTGACTCCAACTAATATTAAATCAGAAAAAGAGACTCTTATATGCTACAATTTTGCGTCATGCGATCTTTGTCAATTTAACAATATTGCCAACTGCAATAATAATATTCTTGACCTTTGTTTTTCCAACTGTGATAGTCTTACTGTAAGTCGTACTGGTGAGTTTGTAAAGGTGGATAAGTTTCATCCACCTCTTAAATTTGTGATATCTGACTGTAACTGTAATTATTACGGTGATACATTTTGTGATACCTATCGTGATTTCAGAAACTGTGATTATAATGCCATCAATTCTTTCCTGTTTAACTTTAACTGGGATTTTATTAGTAGCGATAATGACATATGTGATATTGTAGATGACTTTTACCAGTGTTTGTATTTCATTTGTGATAATTTTATACCAATCCGGAAATCTAAAAGTAAAAATTTTCCCTCTTGGTTTAGCCATGAAACTAGAAAGTTAGTGATTGAGAAGAACAAATTACATCGTCGTTATAAAATAAGCCGTGATATCAGAGATTATTATAATTTCAGTTTAATTAGAGCCAAATGTAAACAAGAAATCGCTTGCTGTTACAACAAATTTATTAAGAACACCGAATCTCAAATCAACTCTAACCCAAAACATTTTTGGAATTTTATTAAGAGTGTAAAAAACAGTTGCGACTTTTCAAATATAATGATTTATAAAAGTATTGATGTTTGCGGGTTTCAAAACATAGTTGATACGTTTGCCAGTTTTTTTTCTTCCGTATATACTAATAATACCAGCAGTAGTAGTAATTATAACTATCCTTACACAATTGACTCATTTGTTGACATCAGCTCTGTGCATATCACGGAAGATTTGGTAGCAAGAGAACTTAATGCTCTAAACTTAAACAAGGGTGCTGGGCCAGATGAGTTACCTCCAACATTTTTTTATAACTGCAGAGATTCATTGGTTATACCACTAACACGAATTTTCTCTATTTCAATAAGTTCGGGAAAATTTCCTGACTTGTGGAAATCTGCACGTGTGGTACCAATCTTTAAATCTGGCAATAAGCAAGACATTGAAAACTATCGACCGATTAGTATAATTTCAGTTCTATCGAAAATCTTTGAAAACATTGTGTCCAGTTTCATAAGTGATTCTTTTAGAAACGTAATCAGTGTGTCACAACATGGTTTTTGTTCTGGTAGATCAACTGAATCTAATCTCTTTGTATACATAAATGATATTTTTAATGCAATTGAGGACGGTTCGGAAATTCACTGCATCTACACAGACTTCCACAAGGCGTTTGATTCTGTTGATCACACCATTTTGATACACAAACTTCTACTCTACGGCGTTCGTGATCCTTTACTTTCATGGATTCAATCTTATATCAGTCATCGTCTACATTTTGTACAATTAATGAAGTTCAAGTCATCTACCTACGAATCAACATCTGGAGTTCCTCAAGGCTCGGTTATAGGACCACTTTTATTTAATATCTTCATTAACGATATCTGCTTGAATTTCAACTCAAATTCCTTACTGTATGCAGATGACTTGAAGTTATATAAGAAGATTGATTCCATGTATGACATAAATACTTTGACAAATGATCTTATATGTCTTAACGATTGGTGTAAACTCAATCATATGTCTCTTAACATTAAAAAATGCAAAGCAATGTGCTTTAGTCGCAAAAGTCGTCCCTCAGTTCCATTGTACCTACTAGAAAATACGCCCCTAGACATAGTTAGCAATGCCAAGGATTTGGGTATCTATTTAGACACTAAATTATCTTTCGTCAGTCACTGTGAATATGTTGTTTCTAGAGGTAGAAAACTTTTGGGGTGTTTAAAGCGGTGGACGGTGAACTTCAGTAACATCAGAACCATTCTGATATTATACTATTCGTTAGTCCGATCGATATTGGAAATCAATTGTGTCAACTGGTCACCGTTTTATATCACTCACATAAGCCGAATTGAAGCTGTCCAAGTCAAACTTTTAAAATATGTCAAATATAAGTTGTGTGGTGATGGTATTGTGTTAGCAGATACAGACCTTGTTGCATCTTATCTGTCAGTACATACACTAGAAAATCGTCGTAAGTATCACAAACTATGTTTTCTTTTTAAATTATTAAATGGTTTAATTGAAGCCCCCATATTGCTAGCGTTGGTAGGTCTTAATGTGTCAATCCGTAAGGTTCGTACGCCTAGGCTGTTTTTTATACCAGTTCATAAAACGAATTATGCATTACATTCGCCTCTAAATAGCGTTTTGATGATTGCTAACGAATGCAACACTTTAGAGTTTTTTGGTATCTCCCTCAACGCCTTCAAGAAAGAATGTCGCAAATTGTTACTATTATGTTAATATGAATTGTTATGTTAATATTTTGTTATGTACTTTATGTAATGCCTTTACATCTTTCGGCGTAATAAAGCACTATTATATTATATAAGATCCTTAGAGCATTTATTACTTTAAATACATTTTATGATAAATCAGTTACGCCACTGGTAAGAGATAGGCGCGCATCTGAAGCTCCGCCCATGTCACCTTTCGTTCTGTTTGGCGCTCTACCAGGCGGTAGCCCTCTTCATCCGCCCTCTATTTTGATTTTGGCAAATGATATACCTTCCAAGAAAATAGAGGGCGGGTGGGCGGGGCTAGTATTTGCTACGATTCTTAGCAAGAGAGGACAGGGGTGCGGCTTATGATGCGTGATTTTTAGATCACAGTGGCGCAACGTTTGTAGCATAAGAAGGTTACGTAGTTACAGCAAATATTATGTACTTTCAAAAAATCATTGTGAATTTCAAAGAATAAAGAAAATCTAAATTGTAGAATCGCATTCTTAAAACTATTACTATTATTTATTAAATGTGGCACAAATAATATATTCTGAGTTTGGGTGCACGCCACTGCAAAGACGTTTTCAAACGAAGAATGAACTCGACCGAAATAGCTTGACCCTATGCGCAGATCACGTGATAGCCTCTTTCGTCAAACTATTCTAGCCCGGCCCACCCGCCCTCTATTTTAATTCGGGCAAATGATATACTTCTTAGAAAATAGAGGGCGGATGGGCGGGGTTAGTAACATCTTAGCAAGCACTAGCCCTGCCCATCCGCCCTCTATTTTGATTTTGGCAAATGATATACTTTCCAAGAAAATAGAGGGTGGGTGGGCGGGGCTAGTGCCTACTAAGATTCTCAGCAAGTAATGAAAATTTTACTGACACCTGTATTAGTCAAGACAGAGGTCGGGGTAAGTAGACCAGTTTCCAGCCCTCATAAAAATTAGTGGAAGTCAATAAACGCCTTAGGCAGACTCCGCACAAGATTTCTGGTTAAAGTATAGTTAGATATTCAGTCGGCATTACAGATTCCTTTCACTCCAGATGTATGTAAGCGCCACCATATGTCAATTTTAAGGGTGCATAACTACAGTAGATAGCGCTACTTACAGAACGAATTTTTGAGGTTAGCACAATAGATCAAATACCTCGGCCAAATCTTAGTCGACCCATTTTTTAATTAGATGAAGTTTGATATGTCGGCAATAATAATAATAATAACAATAATAATCGGATGCACCTAAACAAAAATTAGACGAAGTTCTTCCTGATTTAATCAATAAAATAAATTGACTCATTCATTAATTTTTTTGAGCCACCTGTATACACAATCTAAAATATTTTGGACACTTTAGATAGGATTTATTAGGCAAAATTTTCAACCAAGGTCATCGATTTTTTGGAGAGGATAAGCAAATATATTTTTATTAAAAATTTATCATGCTTATCATAACTTTAAAACATCTGCAAGAATTCAAAACATTCGGTTTTGCAGATTCAAAATTAAATTGCAAAATGTTGTTTTATAGTTTTGATTTTTTTTCTACTATGTACAAATATCTTAGGAAGTACTTGCCCCGCCCACCCGCCCTCTATTTTCTTAGAAGATATATCATTTGCTAAAATCAGTCTTATCTTCGCCGCCGCCTATTTTCTTCATGTTAGTAGTTAATACATTCAGCCGGTATTACAGATTCCCTTAAATCCTGATCTAAGAGCCACAATGTCAGTTTCAAGGGTGCATAATTACAGCAGAGAACGCTAGTTACCCAATTTTTTGAGGTTAGCACAATAGATTAAATACCCCGGTTAGATCTTAGTCGGCAATAATAATAACAATACTGATCGAAACCACCAAAACAAAAATCAAAAAATAAACAACTTTCGATACTTTCGATAAAAATACGGAATGCGAACATCAACAGTGGCGCCCCCTGTCCGAAAACCACCACAAACAAAACAATCAGTCTATAATCACAGTCTTAAAAACCTAACCAACGAAAAATCACAGTCCTACTCGCTCTTACTACACGCATCTTTAAAGTTCGTCACGTTCAACGAAACGAAGTAGTCGTCGTGTATGAACCTGACAATGTCCTCGATCTTGCACAGGCTGACCTTATTTTCCAAGAAAACCACGTCTTTGCAGAAACTCACCTGTCGGGTGACGTCCCTCCCGTTGGTTAATAACCGAAAATAGATACCTTTGGCCCCGTTGTGAGACTGCTCGTGGTTCTGGTACACCTCGAAGACGATCCGAGCGCCGTAGCGCAGAAGAAGCGGATCGTTTTGGAGCCCGAGTGCTGTGGTGAGCTGCTCCACGGTGTGGTCGTGACCCGAGTAGAGCACCAGGAAGGGGCCGTTACTGGACACCATGTGCAACATCTGCTGGACGATGTGGCGGATTAGACCGTACGAGCGCAGCAAGCACAGTCGCTTCCAGTAGACGTTGCGCCATTTTTGGTAGTTCACCCAGTCGGTGTAGGCGAAGACACCAGCGACGTTTTGACGTCTGTGAAGTACCCGAATTGACAAATTAAAAAAAATTATAATAATTTCAATCTTACTTAATACAATTGGAGGGTGTTTCACACGGCAATCCACTCCCGTGACACACGTACGTCAACAGGGCGTCTCTTACGGCATGAGGATCACCCCCGAGCGCCCCCTGCTCCGCCCCTGGCGAAAACAGCGACCTCCCAGTGGACTCCGCCAGGAGCGCCACCGCCGGATGCGACTTCAGTTGGTGCGAAATGGACTTCTTCACCCCTCTAGAATCTTCAATAATCAGTACACCGTACACGCAAATGTTTTGAGCCTATGGGCGGATCGTTTTTGCCTGCCCTCACCGAAAAAGGCGGTCCAAATCCTTCAAGGGCAGAATTTGTAGGTAGGCTCAAACTACAACGAAATTCACATTTTACCTTATAAAATTTTATTGACAATAACGGGACGGACAGTAGTTTTATATACATTTGGTAAGAAATATTTATGGCTCACACCAGTTCTCTCGAACGATGGTCCGGACATGAATTATTTTGCTTTCTAACATCTTTCGACCAATTGTTCCGAATAAAAAATTTCATCACTTTTTCAAATAAAATACTCTTAAAAAAACGATATTGTCGTTGAGTGACATGTAACTGGCATAATAATAAAAACGTGCCATTTTTGTTAACTGATATTTTTTTCATAAATGTCGCAAAATTATTAAATTTGTCTAATCATCCCCACCAATAATGTGATGACGTCACTTCAAATTTATGCATAGTAAATGGGTTTTAAATTGTATACAGTAACATAGTCCTACACATGTAGTTTATGACTCCGTGTTGAGTTTTTATCCAAAACGTCCAGATTTTTGGAAAAAAAATCAAAATTATAAAACAATATTTTGCAATTTAATTTTGAATTTGCAAAATCGAATACTTTGAAATCTTGCAGATGTTTTAAAATCATGATAAACATGATACATTTTTAATTAAAATATATTTGCTTATCCCCTCTAAAAAATTTATGACGTCACCTCAAAATTTTGCAGAATAAATCCTATCTTAAATGTATAAAATATGATGAGTTTTATACTTGTGATTTATCACTGCATTAATATTTTTTAGATTTGGTTATACAAGGTGTCTCAAAAAAGTTAATGACTGATTCAATTTATTTTATTGAAGAAATCAAGAATAGCAAAACTGAATACTTTGAAATATTGTAGATGTCTTTAAGTTTTTGTAGTATGGTAACTTTTTTGAAAATTTGATTAATCAAATACGCGCAAAATCAAAAATCGGAAAAACTGAAATTCACTAATGCAAAAAACAGAAAATCGAAAAATACAAATCGTAAAAATCGAAAATCTAAAAATGGCTAATCAAAAAATCGAAAATTCAATTAATCAAATACCTAGGTCGATCGAAAAGCGGAAATTCACAAACCTCAAAAATCGAAAAATCGAAAATTGAAAAACGGGAAAACCAAAAAATCGAAAAGTCAAAAATTTGTAATATTGAAAATTAAAAAAATCAAAAACAAAAATTAAAAAAATCGGAAATTAAAATAATCAAAATATATAAAGTAAAAAAAACTGCAAAGCCTAAAAACTGAAACGAACAGAAAAATAGAAAAAGCAAAAAATTGGAAAAACAAAAATTCGAAAAATCTAAAATCGAAAAAGTGGAAAATGGAAAATCTGAATAAAGAAACTTGGAAATTCTGAAAATTGGAAAATCGAAAACCAAAAAATCGGAAAGTTACAAAATTGAAGTCTAACAGTTGAGAATGGAAAAATTGAAAAACCGAAAATTCTAAAAATCGACAAATTGAAAATCGCAAAATTTAAATTGAAAAATTGAACATAGAAAAATCGATGAATTGAAAAATCGAAAATTCGACTACTCAAATTTTCTAAAAATCGAAAAATCATAAAACTGAAAAATCCAAAATTCTAATCATCGAAAGTCTGAAAACTGAAAATCGAAAATTATGAAAAGCGGAAAATAGAATATCGAAAAATTTAAAAGAAAGAAAATTGAAGTCTAAAAACCGAAGAATGGAAAAATTAAAAATCAAAAATTCGAAAAATCAAAACCGAAAAATTCGAAGATTTAAAAACAAAATCGAAAAGTAAAAAAATTTAAGTCTAAAAGCTGAAAAATGGAAAACTGAACAATCGAAAATTCGAAAATCAAATATCGAAAAATCGAAAAGCCGAAAAATCGAAAATTTGATAAATCAGACATGCGAAAAACAGAAAATCTGAAAATGCAAAACTGGAAAATCAAAAATCTAAAAATGGAAAAACCGAAAATCGAAAATTCAATGAATCTAATACGTAGGTCGATCAAAAAACTGGAAATTCACAAATCTGAAAAATCGAAAACTCGCAAGATTGAAAAACCGAGAATTGAAAAATCAAAAAACCGAAAAATGGAAAAATCAAAAATCGAAAAATAGGAAAACCGAAAATTCGAAAATTCATAATATTGAAAACTCTAAAAGTCGACAATTGAAAAATCAAAAAACTGGAAAGTAAAATAATCGAAAAATCGAAAAGTAAACAAATTGCAAAGCCTAAAAACTGACGAACAGAAAAATCGAAAAATCGTAAAATCAAAAAGTGGAAAATCGAAAACTGGAAATTGAAAAATCAAAGAATGGAAAATCGAAAAATCGAAAATCGGAATATCGAGAATCGACAAATTAAAAAACCGAAAAATCGAAAAATTAAAAAATCGGAAATCGAAAAATGAAAAAAAAAACGAAAATTCAAAAATCGAATAATCCGAAACTAAAATAATAGAAAAGTGAAAAAGTAAAAATTGCAAAGTCTCAAAACTGACAAACAGAACAATCGAAAAATAAAAAAAAATCGAAAAATATCTAAACATGGAAAATCGAAAAATCGAAAATCGGAGAATGGAAAAACCGAAAAATCGAAAATCGAAAACTCGAAAAATCGAAAATTCGATGAAACAAATGCTCGAAAAAGCGAACAGTAAAAAAATTGCAAGGCCTAAAAATTGAAAAATCAAAAAATCGAAAAGTGGAAAATCGGAAAGTAACAAAATTGAAATCTAAAAGCTGCAAATTGCAGAACCATAAAAACTGAAACAAACAGAAAAATCGCAAATCGAAAAATCGTAAAATCAGAAAATGGAAAATCGAATAATCGAAAGTTGAAAAATCGAAGGTCGAAAAATAAAACAACCGAAAAATCGAAAAATTTTATGATTAATGAAAAATCGAAAAATCGAGAATAGAAAAATTAAAAAACCGGAAAATTGAAAAATCGGAAATCGAAGAATTAAAAACGTAAAATCGAGAATTCAAAAATCAAAAAAATTGGAAAGTAAAATATAATCGAAAAATGCAAAAAAATTGCAAAGTCTAAAAACTGACGAACAGAAAAATCAAAAAATCTAAAAATGGAAAAACGAAAAATCGAAAATTGAAAGAATGGCAAATTAAAAAATCGAAACATCGAAAAATCGAAAATTGAAAAACGGGAAAACCAAAAAATCGGAAAGTCAAAAATTTGTAATATTGAAAATTAAAAAAATCAAAAACAAAAATAAAAAAAAAATCGGAAATTAAAATAATCAAAATATATAAAGTAAAAAAAATTGCAAAGCCTAAAAACTGAAACGAACAGAAAAATAGAAAAAGCAAAAAATTGGAAAAACAAAAATTCGAAAAATCTAATATCGAAAAAGTGGAAAATGGAAAATCTGAATAAAGAAACTTGGAAATTCTGAAAATTGGAAAATCGAACACCAAAAAATCGGAAAGTTACAAAATTGAAGTCCAACAGTTGAGAATGGAAAAATTGAAAAACCGAAAATTCTAAAAATCGACAATGGACAAATTGAAAATCGCAAAATTTAAATTGAAAAATTGAACATAGAAAAATCGATGAATTGAAAAATCGAAAATTCGACTACTCAAATTTTCTAAAAATCGAAAAATCATAAAACTGAAAAATCCAAAATTCTAATCATCGAAAGTCTGAAAACTGAAAATCGAAAAGTATGAAAAGCGGAAAATAGGATATCGAAAAATTTAAAAGAAAGAAAATTGAAGTCTAAAAACCGAAGAATGGAAAAATTAAAAATCAAAAATTCGAAAAATCAAAACCGAAAAATTCGAAGATTTAAAAAGAAAATCGAAAAATCAAAAATCTGAAAATTGAAACTCGAAAATTTGGAAAATCGAAAAGTAAAAAAATTGAAGTCTAAAAGCTGAAAAATGGAAAACTGAACAATCGAAAATTCGAAAATCAAATATCGAAAAATCGAAAAGCCGAAAAATCGAAAATTTGATAAATCAGATATGCGAAAAACAGAAAATCTGAAAATGCAAAACTGGAAAATCAAAAATCTAAAAATGGAAAAACCGAAAATCGAAAATTCAATGAATCTAATACGTAGGTCGATCAAGAAACTGGAAATTCACAAATCTGAAAAATCGAAAACTCGCAAGATTGAAAAACCGAGAATTGAAAAATCAAAAAACCTAAAAATGGAAAAATCAAAAATCGAAAAATAGGAAAACCGAAAATTCGAAAATTCATAATATTGAAAACTCTAAAAGTCGACAATTGAAAAATCAAAAAAACTGGAAAGTAAAATAATCGAAAAATCGAAAAGTAAACAAATTGCAAAGTCTAAAAACTGACGAACAGAAAAATCGAAAAATCGTAAAATCAAAAAGTGGAAAATCGAAAACTGGAAATTGAAAAATCGAAGATTGGAAAATCGAAAAATCGAAAATCGGAATATCGAGAATCGACAAATTAAAAAACCGAAAAATCGAAAAATTAAAAAATCGGAAATCGAAAAATGAAAAAAAAAAACGAAAATTCAAAAATCGAATAATCCGAAACTAAAATAATAGAAAAGTGAAAAAGTAAAAATTGCAAAGTCTCAAAACTGACAAACAGAACAATCGAAAAATAAAAAAAATCGAAAAATATCTAAACATGGAAAATCGAAAAATCGAAAATCGGAGAATGGAAAAACCGAAAAATCGAAAATCGAAAACTCGAAAAATCGAAAATTCGATGAAACAAATGCTCGAAAAAGCGAAAAGTAAAAAAATTGCAAGGCCTAAAAATTGAAAAATCAAAAAATCGAAAAAATGAAAATCGAAAAAACGACGATCGAAAAAAAATCAAAAAATCGAAAAGTGGAAAATCGGAAAGTAACAAAATTGAAATCTAAAAGCTGCAAATTGCAGAACCATAAAACCTGAAACAAACAGAAAAATCGCAAATCGAAAAATCGTAAAATCAGAAAATGGAAAATCGAATAATCGAAAGTTGAAAAATCGAAGGTCGAAAAATAAAACAACCGAAAAATTGAAAAATTTTATGATTAATGGAAAATCGAAAAATCGAGAATAGAAGAATTAAAAAACCGGAAAATTGAAAAATCGGAAATCGAAGAATAAAAAACGTAAAATCGAGAATTCAAAAATCAAAAAAATCGGAAAGTAAAATATAATCGAAAAATGCAAAAAAATTGCAAAGTCTAAAAACTGACGAACAGAAAAATCAAAAAATCTAAAAATGGAAAAACGAAAAATTGAAAATTGAAAGAATGGCAAATTAAAAAATCGAAACATCGAAAAATCAAAAAAACGAAAAATTAAAAAATCGAAAAACGAAAAAACTGAAAACTCGAAAAATCAAAATACCGCAAATTTGAAAAATCAGAAAATTAGAAAGTAATAAAATCGAAAAGTTGATAGAAAAATGGAAACTGAAAAATCTAATTCGATGAAACTGTTGGTCGATAAAACGAAAAATCGAAAATCGAAGTGACCTTTTTTTGAGACAGGCTGTATAAGTAAATCTAAAAAATATTACTGCAATGATAAATCACAGGTATAGACTCATCATATCAAATTTTACGATAACGTCATGCATTTTTTGGCCAAGATAAGCAAATACATTTTGATCGTGGCTTTGAAAGTATTCTTCGACTTTCGTTCCATTTCAAAATTTACTCTTTGTATATTTCAGTGGTCACAACGAGTTCACTAACTACGCTGAAGTATGCAAAGATTAAATTTGTCACCAAAAAGATGTCGGAAGTAATAAATTATCCTATCGGTCGAAGAACGTTCGGTCCGGTGTTACACCTCGACCCAAGAGAGACCGCAGTAAAGGATAACAAATGGAACGGATAAAATAAAGCGTCAAATATGATTGATAAACTTTAAACCAAAATTATGAAGTTTATAAACTGAACATTTTTTTTGTTTTTTGAAATGTAGTACACTTCAAAAAATGTCCGTGACTTACTTTAATGTGAATTTTATAACTATGGTCGGCACAATTAGACCTAATATTAGTGTGATTTTGAGCATATTCTCGATGTTATTAGAGCAGGACAGGTTTTTTTTTTTCTAACTAATTGACAAGATTTCAAAGTATTCAGTTCTGCAATTCTTGATTTCTTCAATAAAATAAATTGACTCAGTCATTATTTTTTTTTGAGTCACCCCCTATAAACAAATCCAAAAAATATTAATGGAATGGTAAATCACAAGTATAGACTCATCATATTCTGAACATTTTAGATAGGGTATTTATAAAATTAAAACTAATTCAGAGTAAGTATTTATAAAATTAAAACTAATTCAGGGTAAGAATTTGGTCAACACGTAAATTTCGTTGTAGTTTGAGCCTACCTACAAATTCTGCCCTTGGACGATTTGGACCGCCTCCTTCGGTGACGACCGGCAAAAATGATCCGCCCATAGGCTCAAAACATTTGCGTGCGTACAACGCTCGTACGAAATGACCTCAAACCGTACGAAATGACTCATTTCCTACACTTACTTCCATAACTTATCCGTGACGGGACAGCCGCAGTCCTTGAAGCAGAAGTTCATCGACTGGCTCTCGAAAATAGTGAGTTTGGTGAGGGTTTCGTGCGGCACGAGTCCGTATAAGAAAGACAGCGCCGATTGGAAAGTCCTTCGGTACCTAGTGCTGTACACTAGGACTTCGCTGGGTGTCAGTGTTGCCAGTTTGGGCCACACTTGAAGGTACGAATCGCGCAGAATTTGCCCCAGTCTGAGGAGTTGGTGGATGCCCTGCATGGTGAGTTGGCCCAGTTGGCACTGATGGGGGTGGGTCGGGAGGACGGGGAAGTCGTGGAAGGGGCCGGGGCCGGTCCAGGGGGCGCGGCCGGTGGCGGTGAGGTTGTGCAAATATGACTGGAAAAAAGATTTTTTTGTAGATTTGAACATCCGACCCCATTTCATAAATTTGAAAAATTAAAAATGGAAAAATTGAAAAATTCAAAACCGAAATATCGAAAAACTTGGGATTGAGAACTTGAAAAGTTGTAAATTGAAAAATTGAAAACTTGTAAAATCGTGGAACTTAACAAACGAAAAATTAAAAAATTTAAACTTTGAAAAATTTAAAAATTAAGTTTTAAATTAAAAACTCAGAATAACCGCAAATTGAGAAAAGAAAAACGAAAATATCTAAAATTGAAGAAACGAAAAATTAAAAAATTTAAAATCGACAAACTAAAAATCGAAAAATTGAAAAACACTTATTAAAATATGTAAAAGTTGTGAGAACAACTGTAATAAATGTTGAAAATTTGAAAAATTAAAAATTGAAAAATTCAAAACCGAAATATCGAAAAACTTGGAAAATTGTAAATTGAAATATTGATGACTTGTAAAATCGTAGAACTGAAGAAACGAAAAACAAAACAATTCAAATTTTGAAAAATTGAAAAATTAAAAATTCTAAATTGAAAACTCGGAATAACCGCAAATCGAGAAAAGAAAAATGAAAATATCTAAAATTGAAGAAACGAAAAATTGAAAAATTAAAAATTGACAAACTAAAGCTTCAAAAATTGAAAACCATTTACTAAAATATATAAAAGTTGTGAAAACAAAAAATTGTAAAATAAAAAACGGAAAATGAATTTACTGGAAAGTCGGAAAAACCGACAAATTGAAAATCGAGAAATAGAAAAACTGTAAACGCCGAAAATTTGAAAAATTAAACATGGAAAAATTGAAAAATTCAAAACCGAGCTATCGAAAAAGTTGACATTGAAAACTTGAAAAATTGAAAATTTGTAAAATCGTAACACTAAAGAAACGAAAAATAAAATTCAAATTTGGAAAAATTGAAAAATTAAAAATTCTAAATTGAAAACTCACAATCGAGAAAAGAAAAATGAAAATATCTAAAATTGAAGAAACGAAGAATTGAAAAATTAATAATCGACAAACTAAAACTCCAAAATTTGAAAACCACTTACTAAAATATATAAAAGTTGTGAAAACAAAAAAATGTAAAATAAAAAACGGAAAATGAGTTTACTGAAAAGTCGGAAAAACCGACAAATTGAAAATCGAGAAATAGAAAAACTGTAAACGTCGAAAATTTGAAATATTAAAAATCGAAAAATTGAAAAATTCAAAACCGAGCTATCGAAAAAGTTGACATTGAAAACTTGAAAAATTGAAAATTTGTAAAATCGTAACACTAAAGAAACGAAAAATAAAATTCAAATTTGGAAAAATTGAAAAATTAAAAATTCTAAATTGAAAACTCACAATCGAGAAAAGAAAAATGAAAATATCTAAAATTGAAGAAACGAAGAATTGAAAAATTAATAATCGACAAACTAAAACTCCAAAATTTGAAAACCACTTACTAAAATATATAAAAGTTGTGAAAACAAAAAATTGTAAAATAAAAAACGGAAAATGAGTTTACTGAAAAGTCGGAAAAACCGACAAATTGAAAATCGAGAAATAGAAAAACTGTAAACGTCGAAAATTTGAAAAATTAAAAATCGAAAAATTGAAAAATTCAAAACCGAGCTATCGAAAAAGTTGACATTGAAAACTTGAAAAATTGAAAATTTCTAAAATCGTAACACTAAAGAAACGAAAAATAAAATTCAAATTTGGAAAAATTGAAAAATTAAAAGTCCTAAATTGAAAACTCACAATCGAGAAAAGAAAAATGAAAATATCTAAAACTGAAGAAACGAAAAATTGAAAAATTAATAATCGACAAACTAAAACTCCAAAAATTGAAAACCACTTACTAAAATATATAAAAGTTGTGAAAACAAAAAATTGTAAAATAAAAAACGGAAAATGAGTTTACTGAAAAGTCGGAAAAACCGACAAAATGAAAATCGAGAAATAGAAAAACTGTAAACGCCGAAAATTTGAAAAATTAAAAATCGAAAAATTGAAAAATTAAAAAATTCGAAACCGAGCTATCGAAAAAGTTGACATTGAAAACTTGAAAAATTGAAAATTTGTGAAATCGTTACACTAAAGAAACGAAAAATAAAATTCAAATTTGGAAAAATTGAAAAATTAAAAATTCTAAATTGAAAACTTACAATCGAGAAAATAAAAATGAAAATATCTAAAATTGAAGAAACGAAAAATTGAAAAATTAAAAACCTACAAACTAAAACTCCAAAAATTGAAAATTATTTACTAAAATATGTAAAAGTTGTGAAAACAAAAAATTGTAAAATAAAAAACGGAAAATGAGTTTACTGAAAAGTCGGAAAAACCGACAAATTGAAAATCGAGAAATAGAAAAACTGTAAACGCCGAAAATTTGAAAAATTAAAAATCGAAAAATTGAAAAATTAAAAAATTCGAAACCGAGCTATCGAAAAAGTTGACATTGAAAACTTGAAAAATTGAAAATTTGTAAAATCGTAACACTAAAGAAACGAAAAATAAAATTCAAATTTGGAAAAATTGAAAAATTAAAAATTCTAAATTGAAAACTCACAATCGAGAAAAGAAAAATGAAAATATCTAAAATTGAAGAAACGAAAAATTGAAAAATTAAAAACCTACAAACTAAAACTCCAAAAATTGAAAATCATTTACTAAAATATGTAAAAGTTGTGAAAACAAAAAATTGTAAAATAAAAAACGGAAAATGAGTTTACTGAAAAGTCGGAAAAACCGACAAATTGAAAATCGAGAAATAGAAAAACTGTAAACGCCGAAAATTTGAAAAATTAAAAATCGAAAAATTGAAAAATTAAAAAATTCGAAACCGAGCTATCGAAAAAGTTGACATTGAAAACTTGAAAAATTGAAAATTTGTGAAATCGTTACACTAAAGAAACGAAAAATAAAATTCAAATTTGGAAAAATTGAAAAATTAAAAATTCTAAATTGAAAACTTACAATCGAGAAAATAAAAATGAAAATATCTAAAATTGAAGAAACGAAAAATTGAAAAATTAAAAACCTACAAACTAAAACTCCAAAAATTGAAAATTATTTACTAAAATATGTAAAAGTTGTGAAAACAAAAAATTGTAAAATAAAAAACGGAAAATGAGTTTACTGAAAAGTCGGAAAAACCGACAAATTGAAAATCGAGAAATAGAAAAACTGTAAACGCCGAAAATTTGAAAAATTAAAAATCGAAAAATTGAAAAATTCAAAACCGGGCTATCGAAAAAGTTGACACTGCAAACTTGAAAAATTGAAAATTTGTAAAATCGTAACACTAAAGAAACTAAAAATGAAATTCAAATTTGGAAAAATTGAAAAATTAAAAATTCTAAATTGAAAACTCACAATCGAGAAAAGAAAAATGAAAATATCTAAAATTGAAGAAACGAAAAATTAAAAAATTAATAATCGACAAACTAAAACTCCAAAAATTGAAAACCACTTACTAAAATATGTAAAAGTTGTGAAAACAAAAAATTGTAAAATAAAAAACGGAAAATGAGTTTACTGAAAAGTCGGAAAAACCGACAAATTGAAAATCGAGAAATAGAAAAACTGTAAACGCCGAAAATTTGTAAAATTAAAAATCGAAAATTGAAAAATTCAAAACCGAGCTATCGAAAAAGTTGACATTGAAAACTCGAAAAATTGAAAATTTGTAAAATCGTAACACTAAAGAAACGAAAAATAAAATTCAAATTTGGAAAAATTGAAAAATTAAAAATTCTAAATTGAAAACTCACAATCGAGAAAAGAAAAATGAAAATATCTAAAATTGAAGAAACGAAAAATTGAAAAATTAAAAATTGACAAACTAAAGCTCCAAAAATTGAAAATCATTTACTAAAATATATAAAAGTTGTGAAAACAAAAAATTGTAAAATAAAAAACGGAAAATGAGTTTACTGAAAAGTCGGAAAAACCGACAAATTGAAAATCGAGAAATAGAAAAACTGTAAACGCCGAAAATTTGAAAAATTAAAGATGGAAAAATTGAAAAATTCAAAACCGAGCTATCGAAAAAGTTGACATTGAAAACTTGAAAAATTGAAAATTTGTAAAATCGTAACACTAAAGAAACTAAAAATAAAATTCAAATTTGGAAAAATTGAAAAATTAAAAATTCTAAATTGAAAACTCACAATCGAGAAAAGAAAAATGAAAATATCTAAAATTGAAGAAACGAAAAATTGAAAAATGAATAATCGACAAACTAAAACTCTAAAAATTGAAAACCACTTACTAAAATATATAAAAGTTGTGAAAACAAAAAATTGTAAAATAAAAAACGGAAAATGAGTTTACTGAAAAGTCGGAAAAACCGACAAATTGAAAATCGAGAAATAGAAAAACTGTAAACGCCGAAAATTTAAAAAATTAAAAATGGAAAAATTGAAAAATTCAAAACCGGGCTATCGAAAAAGTTGACATTGAAAACTTGAAAAATAGAAAATCTGTAAAATCGTAACACTAAAGAAACGAAAAATAAAATTTAAATTTGGAAAAATTGAAAAATTAAAAATTCTAAATTGAAAACTCACAATCGAGAAAAGAAAAATAAAAATATCTAAAATAGAAAAATTAAAAATCGACAAACTAAAAATCAAAAAATATGTGAAAGCTGGAAAAACTGAAAAAATTGTAAAATTTACAATCGAAAAATTGAAAAATTCAAAAGTCGAAAAACTGCAAATTGATTTTTTATTATTATTATTTTTTTATATAAATGAAACTACCGAACATAACCTATTTATACAAACTGAATCAGAAATGGAAGGTAAAAGATTTGGCTCTTTTTTGAAAACTGAAAAAAAAAAACAAAAATATTAATTTAATAGCTGAAACATTGTAAACTGAAAAATCGATAAACTGTAATATGTTTTGAAAACTAAAAAAACTGAAACTCGATGAATTTAAAAAAGAAGGAATAATTGAAAAACACAAAAATTTAA